TCCCTGCGCTATTCAGCACCATTATGTATGTATGAGAATGCACATTGCTTGTCGAGATTCTATTCGCACTGCATTGTCCATCCAGTCCTTTTCATCACATTGCAGATCCTCGGTTATTACGTACATTGCATATATGTGCATGTAACACTGCCTGCATAGTGCAGCTTCGCACGACAATGTAGCAGCGCGACCGCAATGTCTGCACAGGCCAGAATGCCCTCTTCCTGGAACACACTTTCCTTTATGGAAAGTGTGCCCGCTGCTGGCTGGCCTGGCCAGGCGTGTGGGGGGCCCAGTAGCTTGCTTCTGGCCCCAAGTGTCTGCACCCAGGCCCAGTTTCAGATACTGCCCTGGGCCTCGTGCAGTTAGGCACGTTCAGGCAGCCACCCAGCCTCCAAGTGTTCGCAGCATTCTCATTGGCTCCCGGCTCATGCGTAACGACAATGTTGCCCTCTAATTGGCCCGCAGCCAGTCTGTGATGTGTCGGCCTCTCACAGCGCGTGCCAGGGTGCAACCACCTGAGCCCTGGGCTCAACTGTACAGTGCAGCCCTTGCTTCTGGAGAGAGCCTGGAGGTTCACGTTGCTCTGTAACCAACTGGCGTGCTGCAACTGTCTGAATCCCCACATATGGAAAAATGATGAAAACAGGCCTCTCGTGGATATTCAGGCCTGCTTTCACTTAGGGCGGGCACAGCCTTGCTAGGGGCCGCAGCCCAGAACACTTGTATGTCTGATAAGGGCCCCGCGAGGGCTCATTCCTCGCAGGTAGGTGACTTTTTGGAAATCAAGAGTCAGACCAAGCACGGGAAGAGCAGACCCAAAGTCAAAGTCAGCCCAGTAATCAGCCTCGGCCATAGATCAGGTGCACATCAATGGTTGTCTGCAGGTGTCCGGAAGATTCCATTACCGACTGGGAAAAGGTACCGCTGCTTCAGGGCTGCACCCAGTCCGTCGAGATCGGGCAAATCTGACGCGTCAACACCAGCAAAGGGGAGACTGGTATGCCAGTCAACACTGGTCAATGCTACAAAAGGACAGTCAAACCACTGGGGAAGGGATTCTGCCTTGCGCTGGCTCGATGCTAGTGCTGCTACGAGAGGCCACTGGAGTGAGACACTCACACCAGATACTGCTGGAGAGCGCGAGCTTAGAGGGAGATTATGTTGGTGCTCTAGGCGCCATCGCTGTAGACTAGGTGCTGGGGATTGGCGAGGAGGAGGAGGATCAGGTCTGTGAGATTGGTGGGAGATAAGGGAAAGCTTATCTGGACTTACCTGGCGTCGACACGTTTGAACTGATGCTTATCTTCACGAAGGTGAGGAAGTGCGGCGCCATCCTCCATATCTTATTGCTGACATGGAGGGAGGACGGGCGCCCTGTGATGATCTGCACGGTGATTATGTCACAGGACGTCAGAGGGAACATGCATTGCTGAGGTCGAAGTGGGGGAGAGAGAGAGAGAGAGAGAGAGAGAGAGAGAGAGAGAGAGAGAGAGAGAGAGAGAGAGAGAGAGAGAGAGAGAGAGAGAGAGAGAG